CATATTTTTGAAATTCTATTATTTCATTTTCACTTTATTCATTTTTGCTCTGTAGTGTCAACATCAACTACCAATATATTTGCTCCCATTGATTTTTTGCTTTTTTTTTCTTTTTTTTGTTATTATTTTTGGGTTTTTAATTTATTGAAATACTTACTGCTGCCAGTTGAGCGTTCGTGAGGCAAACTACAGTACCGAGAATAACAGCGCTGAAAATAATTTAATTTTCAAATAAATAAAGTAAGATGGATATTACCTTTCTGCAGTTATTTTTGCAGTTAAGAATGGAAGAACTTTTGATCAGCAGTCACTCTTTGATTTAGTGAGAAACTTACTGGTGCTTACAGCAATAGAATATCTATGTAAAACAACTCATAGGGGAAGTAAAAGTTAAAAAGTTAACCAGTTGAAAGGATATGGTTTTTCGATGTTCATTTTAAAGTCATGGGGACTTACGTGCAGAAGGTGTTCATAGCGGGAGGTTTGCTGTTGTTGTCAGATAGAAGAGGAGAGGATAGAAGATACGACTGATGGTTACTCTGTAGCAATTTGCTGCTTATATCCTCAAATTTTCGCCATCAAGTCGCTGTTTTTTTCTTTTTTTTTTTTTTTTGACATGGTTTTTACAGACTCCGCCTTATCGTTTGGTGTGCACTAACTGTTGCTGGTCAAGCACTTCAATTGATCATTGTTTATTAACGTTTTTTTGTTCTTCTATTTCGAGTAACCACAGTATCTCTTTTTTCCTCAGAAAGAACTTTCTTAATTACCCTGTCATAGAAATCAAAGAAATTCTTTAGCATTTTTTTGTTTTACATAGCTGGTTGGGCGCTAAGAGATGTTATTTAGTGTTCTTCATTAAAAGAAGAAGAAAATAGTCTGATGAGTAGTAGCATATGGAGGAAGTATTGATAAAGCAAATAATTCCTCTTGGAAATTTTTGAACTTGATGTTTCTGACTATAATAATGATTATGTAGTTTCAGTTTGGTGACTTGTAGCTAAATTTCTTGATTGTTTGTTCATTTGGAAAAGGTTTACGCATTACCATAACTAAATTGAGAAAAATAGAGATTCTTTTTGCTTGTTTACTTCCATCAATGACAAAATTTTTTCATAGGTTTTTACAACTATTTATAATTTCAAATAAAACGAGCTGGTTATACTAACTTACAGTTGTTTCAGCCCAATCGAAAAACGCCTTATAATGCGTTTCTTTTCAATGCTTAAACAGCAGGGTGAGAAAGGTGCTGACAGTGATTGGGAAGGTTAATCTTGGTGTAGCAGATTCATATTTTTGTATATGGATTTGGATCTCATACAAAAAATGAAAATCCCTTTTTACTACCAGTACTTTGAGTAACAGTGTTTTTATTTTCAGTTCCTAATTTTGTATCTTAAAAACTTTTTTTTTATTTTTTGCACAGTGCATTAACGCTAGCTTTCTTTTACTTTCCCATGTTTAGGTTTAAGTGACGAGTCCTTCTCCTGCTTTCTTGAAAAGCAAGGATTTGATGGCAAATTAAAGAAATACATAACAGATACAATTGGAGTTCTTCAAACAGATACCACAGCTAGGGCAGTAGGTTTCAACTGCTAAAATCTTTCTGGCTGTTCGTTAACTCTATTTCTCAATTTTCTCATCTTTTTGTGATGTATTTTTTTATACTTCTGTCTCTTTTAACTTATCCTACTCAAGGTTTCTGTTTTTAGGAAGTTTTCTGATTTTTTGAGGAATCAGTTGGTAGTAAAATGAGGCAAACTTAATTCTGAAAATTTTTTTATTTTACACCTTATAACTACTGTGGGACTATTCAGATCTTTCTCATTTTTTCTCATTATTCTTACTTTTTAAAAAAAAGTTTTTTGATTTGTAGATTAGAATTTTTTTGAGTTATTAGCTTATTTGTTTGTGTACTTTAAAGACTGTGACTTGTTTTTTCTGTTTTATTTGTCCTTTTTTTGCGTAAATTTATTTTGCTTACTCAATTTTATAAAATTCAATCTTTTTTAGCTGATGGTCTAGCACTGAATTCTGTTGATAGTACTTCTTAAACTTAACATTTTTGTCAGTTCTGCTTTACTTCTAGGGGCTGAAAGCTGTTTATCAATTTCTGGAATCGCTTGGACGATATGGAAATTCCCCATTTTTGTGGACTTTATACGGAAGCGGGGAGTTGTCACAAGGTTACTGTCGATTATGTGCAGTTTTTGGAGGAGTTTATTGTTTGAATCGGTCAGTAGACGGGCTTGTTATTGCGGAGGAAAGGTTGTAGATTTTTTTATATTGTTGAACTAGTTTGCATTAATAATATATTTGCCGCATTTGTTTGCTTTTAGCAAACAGACCACACTTCTGTCTTATTTTGCTTTATTACGGTACTTGACTTTTCTCTCAATTACCTTTGTTTTGTTCTTGATTTAACAGTCGATTATATAATTTTTCAATTCTCACTTTAAATAAGTGATTTTGCATTCTTTCTAAGAGATTATTAACAAAATATATAAATTTTTTTTACTGTCAGTCAAGGGTTTTATTGTCCTTGGCTATTTGGTTTTTTTGTTAGCGTTTCTTAAATGTCTTTTGTTTTGAGTCGCTTCCTCTAGCGTAGATAGGCAGATTCTCGAAGATTGTAACATCGACTAATTTCTTATTAAAGAGGAATGCCAAAACTGGAATGAAGGCTACTTCTTACTGCTCGTTTTTTGTAACCTAAATTCTGTATAGGGTGATAGCAGTAATCACTGGAGGCCAGCGTATTGGATGTCAATACTTGATCACAGATGCCTCATATCTTCCTCAACAGTACGCAAACTATGCGAATGGCCGGAAAATTTTAAGAACTTCCCTGATTTCTGAACGATCTATACTTCAAGATCCAGAAAAAGATCATGTTAGTGTCTTTTTTTCAGATGATTAGTCTGAAAAATTATATACTGGTACATTAAAATGATGAAGATGAATGAGTTTTGGGATCATTAATTTAGTAGGGAGAACTTTTGTGATGAGAAAATCATTATTTTTTATTTTCTATCTATATCTTGAAGTGTAATTGCCTCTTTTTTATACCTTCTCAGCAATTTTATAGATATCACTTTTGAACCTCAATTATTTGGACACCAAGCTTTCTCCTTGGCTCTTGGAGGTTGGATATGAAGGATGCGTTGCCCCAAAGAACTTTTGTGAGGGACCTCTTTTATCGAATTTCTAATTTAAGTATGCCAGGGCTTTTTGAGAATTTTTTGGAGTAGTACATAAGCATTCTTATTTATTTATTTATTTATTTATTTACTTATTCATTTGTCTGTTTCTGTGTTTATCTTATGCTTTCTTTTGTTTACTTGGTATCGTTTACTTTAAGATTTGTCGCATATTGTTGCCTCTGGCGGAGATGACATTTCAGAATTAATGTCTGTTGTGTGGAAGTTATACAGTGTTGATGAACGTTCAGACGGTAAGTTTGGTAAAGCATGCTGTTTTTAAACGTTTTTTTCAGTTTTTAAAACGTGTATCAAAGGAAGTAAATTTCTAACTTGTTTTAGTTCATAGTTGGTAAATATCTTTTTTTAGAGTTTTTGTTGTTGATTATTGGTGTCATTTTCAGAGGCAAAGAATAATCGTCCTCATCCGCTCTGGTCGTTTTCATGTGTACTAACTGCACCCGAAGTTAAGGAGGTCAACTTACCAGCGAATCTGCGAGTTGTTCCTGGTGTAGATTCATCATTGGATTACTCAGCCATAGTGCAGAAGGTGGCGAATATTACTTATTGAAGTAACTCAGGTTTTTGAAATATGGAAACCGAAGACTGTAAAGTGGATGGATATTGTCTTTTTTATTTCTGGTTTTATTACCGGTTTTTTGATGGAAATATTGTTCGTTTTAGACTCGTTCAATTTTTCAAGAATTATGGTCTGATCATGATTTTTTACCACCTTCTTTGAAAACGGATGAGGATTTGGAAGAAGACGAATCTGTAGTTGAACAGGTCACAGAGGCAAAAGGAATTCCTTCCACTAAAGAAAGTTCGAATGCAGTCAAATAACCATGGTGATTAGGCTGTTTGCAGTTACCTTTTACCAACTAATCTCTTATGCAGATCGTTAATCACGATTTTTGGCTTATGGTGCCTGTGGAATTTTATGCAGCTGACGTTTAATGAAAACGAAATGCCTGCCTTTCCTTCTTCTTACATTTCTAGTTAAAAAGCTGCTCTTAAGCCTATTTTAGTTTTTTTGCTTGGCATTAGAAATTCTGAAGAAGACGGGAGAAAACATGAATTATTCTGATGAACGTTTTGAAGCAATGTTTTGGACCATTTATCTGAAGTCGTTAATTTCTCGACACGGACTCACTATTCTATATGTCAATGAGTCGTGCCAAAATGCTTTTTTAATAATTGGACAAAGGAAAGATGTTTTTTCACTTATAAACCAAAAACCATGATATCTAGCATGCCTGGGTAATTGTAATGTGTCTTGTGGACTTATTTAGTTTTCTGAGCTAACTACACTTTTAACCCAAATTTTTTTGATAGAGACTGGCTAATCGCGTTAGATTCAGTGATTTCTTTGTGTTTAGAGCCTAGACAGCGTTTAAGACAAGTGTTATTGTTTCTACTTGAGAATGGAGGTCTAGCAGTTCATTTTTTTTTTAATAATGGACTCAGTTTTTTTCCAATTTTTTTAGTGAGTCATTAATACAAGAGCGGTTTGGACGTGCTATTGCTATTGGGGAAAATAGTAAGCTGTCGTGGAAATAACAGCACGGATTTAGTGCTCAGCGTATTTTTGGTTTGGTTGCGGGGCTTTTAGTGCTTGATCTAATATCAGTAAAACTGTTAAGTCAATATAAATACGTTATTCCGTTAAAGTGCTGCAGCAGGATTAGCAGGATTTATATAGCTGTGTGATCGGTTATATAAAACTGGTGGTACTTTATTTCATTAAAAAACGGTATTGCGCGTTTGCCTTTGAATAATGAGATTAATTAGAAAATTCACTTCTTTAGCAGACCTTAAATCGTCTTTCTTAAAAGTCCGGTTTAAAACTGTTTGATTCAAGACCCCTTAGTTACTTTTAGGTCTGAAGTGAGGGATATCAGCTTTTCCGATAAGTATTTGACTTATAAAGTCTTGTTTTCTATCGATTTTTGATTATTGGTAGCTGCAGTTGTTAAAATGTACTTGTTGAAAGTGCTTGTCTCCGAATGGTGTACTTTGGAGTTTGAAGTGAGAAAATGTTCTTTTTTTTCATTTTAGTTAGTTCCGTCTAGTCTTGGCTGGTGATTCCGAAGGCATAACTTTGAAGGTTCTGTAATCGACGTTGATCCTGGTATTCTGGCAGAAATTGGATTTAATCTCATGAAATCTTGAATTAAATGTAGCAGGAAGTTCGTTTTACTTTGTAGCAAGCCTATTTTTAGGCACATAAAAGCAAGCATTTCAATAGTCTTATGTTCCCAATATAATATTATTTACAAGCATGTGAGTGTGACTTATATTTTTACACGTTCAGAAATAGGCGACGTCGATTAGCAGTTGAGAATGCTTTTCGTTTATCCAACTTTAGGTTCGTGTCTGCTGATCTCTATAGTTCTCGTTGACTTTTTGACAGGTGGAACTTTTAGTCACCTGTCAATAAAAAGTATTATATTATCACTGACTGAAACAATTTTAAGTTTGACCATCTTTACAAAGTTTTTTGTGAGCGTAATGGAAGTAGAATTCTCAAATCGTCTTCTGTGAGGTTAAGTAACAGTTCCTAGAAAAAAAAAAAAGAACGGGAGAGAAAAGGAAATCCTTTATTGATTTGTGGGCTTATGGCAAACTAATGGCATGTTAATAGACTGTTTGACATTCCTAATTTTCCCTTGGACAGTTGTTGAGGAGATGGACTGACAGGCAGGGGACGATAGGGGCAGGCTTGAGCTAGTGCTAATACTAATCTTCTTGTTGCTATTGTTGTTGTTTTTAATATTGCTGTCACTATCATTTACTTTGTTGTTTTATTCGCTGTTGCTGCTTTCTTCATTGTCGTTATCAATTTTGTCAGCATTATTAATTATAGTTTTTTTTTTTCAATATTTGCTCTAATTACTGTAACTATTATTATTGTTGTTATTATTATTATTACTGTTTTGGCGTTAATATTTCCAATATCACTATTAATACTACTCGTGGATTGAAGGCTTTGAAAGGAAGGAAATTTTTTGAAAGCTAATTAAAATTGGTTTGTAAAAGTCTCAAGTTTTCTGAAAATTTTTGCGTTGGAAATCTCTCACTGATTTCTGAGACTTAGAGCAAAAAAAACATGTTTACTTAGGTGTACTCGTGTCAGTTGTACATCGTTTTTCTATTTTTAGGTTGGAACATGATTTACTGTTATTTCTTTGCAGGCTTATGCTCTTTGGACTTCTGCTTGTATAAGCTTTTCATTATGTCGAGTTTTTTCTTTCTGTTGTTTTCATTTCTGCTAAACGAAAAAGCACATAATTTTAACGTTCTGCCCTTTTAACGTTTATTCAATAATATAGTTTTTGACACCATTTCTAGCGTTGTTTTGCTAACGCGGACGAAAATTAGATACATTTTTGAAACCTGTTGCATTAGAAGAGCCCTTATATGCCAATAGTGAAAGACATAGAGGTGTGAGGAAAGACTAAGCCACTGAGCAGAGATTTTGGCTATCACACCACACTAGGCTGATCTACTCTCCAGGGACTACTAGTTTTTCAGCAGTGAATGCAATTTATTCGTTGAATAAGTTCTAGTAACCAGTCAATTGTGGTTGCCAGATTTGCAAGGATACTAAAAAAAGCAAAAATTTTAATCACAGTGATATTTGCGTCGATTTCGGTGACTTCTTCATAAACTTGAAAAGTCTTTAGTAGCAGATTAGACTAGTACAGATAGGGTAACTTATAATATTTCTAAGCAAACAAATTTATTCAAGCCAAATAACAACTGTTTTTAATCGGCAATTGAATAACACAGTTTAATCTTTCAGAAAACAGTTTTTGCAGTAGGGGAATGATTGGCGGTTGAAGGTGTGATGATAAGGTTTAGTTTGATTTCTGTTGACAAATTTGGAAACGAAAGCCTTAATTGGCAGGCTATTGAAAGGAATAATGGCTATTCAAAGCTGCTGCTCGCTGTGGTTTTGATAGTTTCGTGTCCTTGTTTGTAGCAACTAATCTGATAAATTTTAAATGTTTTTGAATTCAGTCATCTTATTATTACACCGATAAGTTGGAAGGAATGGTAAGTAGTAGCAGGTTTGGAGGGTTAACTGCAATACGTTAAAATGTTTTCTGGTTCGGTTTCATCTGCTCAATTTTTCGTTGATAAGTTAGTTGTGAACTGGGCTGGAAAACCTTGAGGTTTTGAATTTTGTTATTCATTGTTGATAACAGTGGGTTTTGTTTATTTTTTTTCCACTGGTATAATTGTTTGATTATCCATGTTTGAGGAGTGGAAACATTTTTCTTGCACTATTCACATTTGATTAATTGTTTAAATCTTAGTTGTACTTTTGCTGTTATAAGTTGGGCTTCTTCTCATTCTTTTGCTTTTATTTTTGGGCCCATCCGATGGTGTAGTGGTATGTAAATTTTTTATATTTTAGTTGTTAACGCCTTATTCAAATAAAATAACAGTAGTTTCATTCCTTTTTTCTTTCAAAAAGAAAAAAAAAAAAAGAAAAAAAAAACGACAAGGTTCATAAGCAGCACTTAATTCTCAAAATGATTTTGACGAACTATTTTTAGAAATCCTTTTATACTGAGCAAATATATAGCATATAGGAATATGTTTTTTTGCATTTATTTTTTTTTCTACTCTTCTCGGCTGGAAATGTAGTAGTCAGTTAAACAAATAAATTTCTTTGGAGTTCTTTTAAGTTGTATGAAAATATAACAATAATTTATATTCTTCTTTGGGAGACTGGGAGACTTTTCAATTTTAGCTTTTTATGACTCAGAAGGAGAAGTAGTTTTTTTTGGAAATTTTTTATTGAATTTGTGATTATGAGCACCGTTTGTAAACTGTGAAATTGATGGCTACAGGAGTTTAATGGCGCCTTCATCGGTTACAAAGCAACAAATATGTAAATAGTATCTTAAATGCCAGACTGGTACTGGACACCGGTTGCAAACTAATCAATTTTTTACTCAGACTTGGGAGCTGACGATTAAACTGGTGTCGTGTAGACACAGAGGTTTGCACAAAAACTTGCTGACTAGGCCTAACTGAAGTGACTACTGGTAGTCATCTAGAATTGAGATTTCATCACCGGTGTTACAACTGCTACTGGCCCCAGCTGTGCCAACAAGTTCTAGTAGTTATTTGAAGATTAAACGATGGGTAAACAATTGCAATGTTGCGACATTATTTTTTGCCTTTCTAGTTCCAGTCCGCTGCTTTGATGGTTAGACTTGTCTGCCTGAACCAGTCTCACTTGTCGACTATGAAACTAAACTTCTGTTTTTTCTTGCATGTGTCCGTTAAAGACAAGTCTCTTCTCACTTTGTCAGATACTTTCAAAAACTCTGCAAAGTATATGGCACCATTTTGTCAGCAACTGAGGTACCAGTGAAGCAGAAGCAGAAAGTTGCGGTTAGTAAAGGACTTTTATATTAGACTAGTATCTTTTGAAAGAGTAATAAATTCATAAATCTAGCTTCTTCTCGCTCAACTCTAAATTATGACAGAAAAACTGCCTATAAGACACTTCAAGTACTCCACTACTATATAAGTGTAAGAAGTGCCATTTATTAAAAATTGCACCATAATTCTTTCCGCTTCTCCCGTTTATCTGATAAAAATAATTCGACAAATAAGTAGTGTCGTTTGAAATAAATTTGATTTTGCTAATGCAGCATCTGCTTGCATTTTTCAATGAACTGTACTTGAGAGGATTTGCGGATTAATTTTTCCTAGGAAAATTTGATTATCTAATGATAACTGGACACGACAAAAGCAAAAATGAAGCTGGACAGCTTACCCTTCTGTCAATAATCGTTGAGACATCTAAAAATGAAATGGTAAAATGTCCGTCTAATTGTTCACTAAAGATTCAGCAAAAGCAAATAGTCAGCGACTTTTTAAAACAAGCGAGTAGCAGTCTATTTTACCAACTGTTCTAGTTTCCTTCGGTTCTGTGTGATCCAGAAAAGCCTTTTTTTAGAGCGCCTGTATTCTGTAAAATTTTATTCAAACAGTTCTGGTTCTTGACTTCTTTCACCTATAGCCTTGATAGCGATAGCTGTCTTTAAGACCGTCTCAACGGCAGCTCGTACATGAGTGTTTTTTTTCCTTTGTTACTATTACGTTAACCTAAGACTTATTGTGGGGGAATCGTCTCTACCTCTTCCCACAGTTTCTACTTCATTTTTAAAGGAAGAAGAAATGCATGAATGCCGCTTCGCCCTATTGTAATTAGATTTGCTCTGCATCTTTCGTTACTGACTGTATCAACCGCTGCTAGTAAATTAGTTATCCTATACCTATGCGATTGATGATATACGCCCTTTGGACAATTTTGGCTTAAAAGAACAGAATTCTATTAATCAATCAACACCGATCAAGCAGCCTGCCTGCCACGAATCGGCATTCTTTAATTTTGCACTATGTGTACTTTCGACATGTCCCTAATCAAAAAAATTCGTGTGGCCACAAAAAACAAACGAGTGATGAGACCATCCTCACCTTTTTACCAATTGAATGCAAAAAATGGTACATAGTTAACAGGCTATACATCATACGAGTCCAAACAAGCTACTCAAACTGACCAGAAATCATTACTCGACAAAAACGACAAAAAGCTTCATTACAAAAATGTGTTTGTCTCAGTCAAATCAAAGAGACAATTTTAAGAAGCAGAGAACAAAAAAAAGGTGATCCTTAAAACCTGATACTGCTCCTAAACACCTATTTTGGAGATCACTTTCTTCTGCTGCGTCAAGTTATCAGTTTCTGCAAAAAAAAAAAAAACTCATGTAATAGAAACTGCAGTATGCGGAATGAAAACGGGAAAGGAGAGATTGCAGAGAACCTGGTTTGAGCGGCTGCTATAATATGTTTTCAAACAAAAAATTTAATCAGAAACGATTAAGGAAAGAAACAGGTGTTGCAGTGACTGTTACAGATTAAAGAGCGCAATACTGAATGGCAAAGCGGGACTGCTGGCAAGTAAAAAACCTGTTATAAAATTTGAGAATTATTGTCAATTTCGAAACCAGTGCAACCTTCGTTTTTTCCCAGAGACCCGATAAAAAGCCATTCTATTGCGGTAATAACAAAAGTGGTCACTTTACACATCGGATATTAACAAGAACAACCTCTCAACGGCAATGAATAGTTTAGATCCAAGAAAAACATTTCAGAAGGGAATGACTTAAGATACGAGATAGAGAACAGTAGAAAAAATATCAGCGCCAATAAACGCAATTATTACGACACTGTTACTTAATTTCCTGAGTTAGTGGTAAAAATTATTTAAATTTTTAATGCAACATCCCTGGCCGATACAGAAAGTGATGTTGAACTTACACCCTGTTAATGTCCTACCCGCCGGAATATGGGTTCTCCTTGCTATTTTTGCTTAACACTATAATTTTCCAAGTCTCACTAATAATCGGGAATATCTTCCAAAGTGTGGTGCAAAAATAGCTAAACAATTTTGAAAGCAAAAAATTTTAGCCGAAAAGCTCACTGGCTATATGATTTTTTTCAAATCTCAGATTTATTAACGACTTGAAGGTTACAGTGATCAACTGTTTTCTAATATGATTCCGACTTTGAATGAAGAGTTTTTCAAAAACGATTCCAGCCACATTTCAATTTTCAAAAGTTGATAGGTTTTAAGAATACAATGACGACCGCCTAGTTTCCTTTTTCTTTGGCGACAACCTTAACCACTTCATGATTCGACTTGATGTACCCTCTTCTTCTTTTGATACTTCAGAGCCTACTGAGGTTTCGTCCACAAGCGGCAACTGAAATAAAAGAAAAAATAAATGCTGTTCTAATTAAATTTCCAATAAAAAATTTCATGATTTTCATTATTTCCACTGACCGTGGTAGGCTTTGGTGAAAAAGCCGCTTTGCAGCAAAAAGAAACAGCTTTATCTTTGTTTAATGAGCTGAACAAACTCATTTTACAACTATAGATTACAACTTTGTGTCATACTTTGTCTGCCGATAAGCATTTCTGAGGTAACATAGGACTTAAACAAGCGCCAACAGAAGCTCTTCCAAACTGGCCTGGTTCACGAGTACTTGAAGACTTCTGAATAGGTGACTTCTCAGAGTCGGCGATCAATTTAGTTGCATCTTCTCTGAAAAAGTAGAACAATTAAAGCTATTAAGGCGTAACTGCGCCAATAATCACCAAATACCAAAACCAAAAATGGTTGACTACGATACAAGAAATACAAAAAAAACTTTTCACCCAGCCAAAATTCTCCTATAACGGATGAAAATATACAACAGTCACTTGCGAAAAGTTACTTCTAGACCAAATCCTACGACGCTAGAAGTTCTTCTTCACTTCGGTAACAAAAAAAGTTGAAACTTTTTGGCAGAACAGAAGAATAATGTTGAATCTTCCTTTTTGGCACTTCTTTGGCCATTTAAGATTCAATCCAATGAGCTCTAACAAAAAACAGCGAAAAAATCGTCATAAGGATAACAGATAAAAAAATTTTAAATTGGAAAACAAATTAAATTTTACAACTTTCAGCCGTCTTTCTAACTTCATCCGATGCAACGCCTTTAACAAAGAATTTTGAACAACGTACTCTCATTCCCGTTATAATGTGTCAATCTTTATTGTCAGAAGATTTCAACTGCTTTTCTGACTTTATCAAGCGCCAAACAAGAGCACTCAATGCTATCTCACAAAAATACGTCATCTTTTGTTAAAAAGCAAGTTTTTTTTAAGAAACTCTTATTTTTATGGCTCATGAGAGTTCCAACCTTCAAGAGATTAGGCAAATGCATAATTAAAGAAAGAAAAATCGTGTTGTAATTTTTGAACACAAAACACAAAGCTGACATACTCTTGACGTAAGGAAAGACCATCAATATTTCAAAAATCCCCCTAGGAAGATTTATTTATCTAAATTACAAAAAAGGGATAATTGCTTACATATGTAATGCTGCCATTTTTTGAAAAAACTTCGCTTCGTCTTCCCTGCAAATAAAATTTTTCTTTATTTTTAGCGTACACAAAAAATCCATTCAACTTCGCAGTAACAATTTTTAGGATAGAGCCAAACCCAAATCATAGCTTAAAAAGCTGCCAGTTGCCTATGAAAAAAATTGCGTCTCTTTTACATCTCAAAATTTTCGTACGGTCGAGAAAACTATCAGCTTTGCTGCCATTTTTCTATCATCATTTCAGATGTAGGCAAAAACCCAGTTCATTTATATCCCAATATAATGTTGCAGACATCAAGGCGCTTAAATATCTACACTCATACCAAACTCTCGACATTCAATAGTTGACGAACTGTACAAAAAATTTTAGTTTCCATTTCAAAAAACACAATTTTTTTAAGCTGTAAGTTTCAAATTTCTTCCTCAACAAGTTTATCTATCCACTAGAAAATCGGTGAAATCCAACAAAAATCCAGAGCACAGCAAGATAAAGACTAAAATTTTTACTATTTAATCTCAAGACACTTTTCTGATATCAAACTAGTCAAACAATAATACATCAACGCTCAAAAAAACATCATTTCAACAGTCAATAAATTTTGCCTGAAAATTTAGGATAATTTTTTTTTTTTACCTGGCAGCTTTTTGGCACTTTTCTCGTTGAATTTCCAGATGTCTTAAACGCTCTTTTTGCCGTTTTTCCTTTTCACGTTTCTCTACTTTCTAAAAAAAAATTCACATAATCAAAAAATACAAATGCAATCACTGAAGATTTGCACAGGGCAAACCTCCTGAA